TTGCAAGGCCAAGTTGTTATTTTAGGCCGTTTTTGGGGCCTTGGCCCCCGAGGGCCAAGGCCCAAAATGCGTGGCCTTAGAGGTTTAGGGTTTAGGGTTTAGGGTTTAGGGTTTAGGGTGTAGGGTTTAGGGTTTAGGGTGTAGGGTTTAGGGTTTAGGGTTTAGGGTTTAGGGTTTAGGGTCCCTATCCTAGTGTTTGGAAGGAAGAATCCGCGTGCTGGCATGAGTTTCTAGGCCTAAGCCCTAAAAGGAATAGGTTTGGGTGGTTGGCCGCCTCATATAGGGCGGGGGGCTAAATCCCTAAGACCCTAAACGCAGGAAGAGCTCCTGCTTCCACTGGGTCCCTCCAGAACTTCAGGTTTTGGGCTTAGCGTCCAGGGTGTAGGGTTTACCGTCTAGGGTTTAGGGTTTTTAGGGTTGAGGGTTTTGTGTGTAGTCCGCTGTGGCCTTGGTCGTTTTGCTGAAGCCCTGGTCGCGGGCCAGCTGAAACAGGTAGTACCGAGAAGTAAGAAATCGTTTGGCGCAAGCACGACCCACTCCCTTCCGCGTTCCGGGGCAAAAAGGCGCCGGATACCAAACCCTAAACCTTAAACCCTAAACCCTAATTAAAGGTGCCGGATACTCTCGCCCCCCACGCCCATGGATAAAGATCGACGTCCACACCCTAAAGCCTGTGCTGCTCATGACTTTGCCATAAGGGTTTAGATTTTAGGATTTGTTTGCTGCATCGCCATGGTGTACCTTATGCCTCCTCGGGGTGGCATCCAGTCCCTGGATAGTTCGGGGTCTCCCAGCCCCAGCGTGTCGCCAGCTATGCTCCTCGGCTGGCTCAGGGATGCATACTCAAGCACTCAATCACCAGATAGTTGAGAAGCGTTCTGGCATTCTTCTTTGTAGGTGCTGCTGCAGCTGCTCCTCCTCCTACTACTACTACTACTACTACTACGGCTACTACTACTCCTGCTTCTGCTGCTGCTTACGGCTACTCTCAGAGGCAAATGCCCGCAGCGACCCTCAGTAAGGGACCTGGGATGACTCAGGAGATCGCCGGTGTCGAAGATGGCCAGGCTCTTCAAGAAGAGGAGCTCTCAAGGTTTGGGGTATATGGTTTAGGGTTTAGTGTTTAGGGCCTCCTTACGGGCTCCTGCAGGGGTTCTGTGAGAATTCTTGAAAGCGAGGTTGTTTCTGTAAGAGTTCCGATTTGCTTCCGGTTTCTGTGGAGTGTATACCTTAAGCCAATGCACTTTTCCATTCGCAAAAGCCTGGAAGCCTGATAAATAAGCCTTGATGCCTGACTTCGGTTCCTGAGCAAAACCCGAAACGCGAAATTTCAAAGCTCTCAACCCCAAAACTTTCAAGCCCGAAAGCCCTAACCCCTAAACCCTAAACCCTAAAGCCTAAACCCTAAATCCTAAACCCTAAACCCTAAACCCTAAACAAAGCCCCTAAACCCTAAGCCAAGAAGCAAAAAAGCCCTTAAGCCCCAAAAGCCCGAAGACCTGACCCCGAGAGTGCGAACTTTTCTTCAAGGACCTCCGCGGTGGTTCTGGACCATGTTCACTACCAGAAGTGTGAGGCCAGAATTCGGGTTAGCGTTTAGGGTTTAGGGTTTAGGGTTCTAGCAGTAGTAGTAGTCGTCGTCGTAGTCGTCGTCGTCGTCGTGGTAGCGGGTAGCGGTGGTAGTCCTGCCAGTGTGCTAGTCCTGGTAGTCGTGGCATGGTGCGGTCTTGGTAGCGGTAGTGGTCGTGGAACTACTGCTAGCAACAGTGGCAACAGTAGTGGTTGCCATGGTCGTCGTCGCCCGCCCCGATCAGGGCTGGTCAACAAAAACATAGTGGGATTAGGATTTTACATTCTTGGATTTAGGATTTGGGGGCAGGGTTTGAGGTTGTGGGTAGGCTATCAATAGCAAGTCTTCGAAACTTCAGCGGGTTTTGGGATACGTGCGATGTTCTTGTATTAGGCATCTTGACATAAAGGGTGTTGATCAATCAGTCGAGAAGACTTTGGATAAGGATCGGCAGAACGAGGGGCCAGGCCTTTCTTTGGGGAAGGTGCAGCTACAAGATTAATCCAGCCCCCAACCGCGGACGTAATCCCCAGCAGCCTTACCCTTGAAAGCACCATGTCACCCTTTACGATATCTTTGTGACTTCCGACGAAACCAGACGAAGCCTGCAGTAAAACCTGTATGAAGCCCACCAAAAGGTTATCCAACCCGTATAAAGCCCGAGAACCGTTGTAACTCCGCATTCGGCCATTCAATCCCTAAACCCAAAGCCCACAAATGGCCGAAGGATCTGCAACAAGAGGAGAAGGGGGCACCTCGATGCAAACCTCGGGTTTTGGTGTTATGACAGATCTTTGTAGGTTTTCGAAGGGTCTTTTCCGGTTTAGATCAGGATTCTTTTGCAAGGTTTGATGGGATCCGATAGGGCTTCACATGCTTGTAAGGGACTTTCCTAGGATTTGTACAGGGCTCATAGTGATGTCTTATGTTACGTTCTGTTGTTTTTTGCTGTCTTATCTGGTCTTATCATCTTATCTTTTTTGGCTTATCTTATCTGGCCTTGTCTTTCTATTCTATCATCTTGTCTTAAATTATACGATCTTATATTATATGATGAGGTAAGATTATATGATATGGTACAAGATTGCAGGCTTTCGGCATGTGTTCAGCTCAGCGCTTCCGACCCTCAGCCTCCAGCTCTAAGACCTACTGCACCTGCACGGACCTGAATGGTTTGAGGGTGTGGGGTTTAGGGTTCAGGGTTCAGGGTTTAGGGCTTAGGATAGGGTGTAGGGTGTAGGGTTTAGGGTTTTGGAGGTTTAGGTTGGGGTTCGGGTTTAGGGTTTAGGGTTTAAATGCAGTTCCTTCAGGTTCGTTGATGTAGTTATGGTATAAGATGTCCCCCAAAACCTTTTTCTGATTGTTCCGGCCTGTGTATGAAACTTTACATGTCGAAACTTAAGGGTTTGAGGGTTGAGGTTTTCTGATGCAGGGTTTCGTGGGGCTTAGCGTTTCGGTTCGACAGGGTGTCTTACGATTTGTTTTTCGTAAACATTCTTGGGGCCAAATATTAGAAGATAATGTAACGCCGTGTACAAACCCACATAGAATCTGTAGGAAGATTTTTACGGAAGCCATAAAGGAACCCACGTCTTAAAGACCCCACACCCTGAACAGTCAATCCTTGCAGAGCCTCTGAAAAGAGCCCGTAAAGCCTGTAAAGGAGCCCTTGCAGGAGCCCTTAAAGGGAACTACATTATAGAACCCTTCACGGAACCCTATGATAGAACCCTACAGTACCCTTATAGAAATCCTTAGAGGAACCCTTAAAGAAACCCTTAAAGAAACCCTTAAAGGAACCCTTAAAGGAACCCTTAAAAGAGCCCTCAAAGCACCCCAAACCCTACACCCTAAACCCTAAACCCTAAACCCTAGGGGTTAACCCGAACCCGAACCCCAACCCCGGTTGGAGTTGGGGTTAACCCGAACAACCCTAAACCCCCAAAAGGCCCCGTGGTTTCTCAGGTTCTCCGGCGTTTCTGGCTGCTCCTTGCTACCACGGCCGTCCTCGCGAGCTCTCTGACTCTTGGGCCCAAGTACTCTGGGGGTTTAGGGTTTAGGATTTAGGGTTTAGGGTTCTTGGGCCCAAGTACTTAGGGTTTAGGATTTGAGGTTTTGGGTTC